AAATCTCCTCTTCCTGGCTTCCAGGGAGCATGCTGGCTGTATTTCTTCCAGTACAAATTTGTTTATTCTTCCATTGACATGCATATGAGGCTATTGGAAATACTAGGGCTTGGGTCAGGCTTACCTTAGTTCTCAAATTGACATCTTACTTCTTGAACATGTTAAAGAGGTCTTGTGCAACAGATTTGCCTAGAGCAATACGTTGTTTGAGTTCTTGACTGCTGCTTCCTCTAGTGTCGATGAGTGAATCCAAGCAAAATGAAGTCTTTGACAACTTTAATCTTTTCTCCAGTTATCATACTGTTTTTTATGGATCCAGTGGTGAGGATTTTGTTCTTTACATTGAGGTGCAACCCATATTGTAGGCTGTGGTCTTTGATCTTCATCAGTTAAGTAGTTTAAATCATCTTCACTTTTAGCAAGCCAGGTTGTATCGTCTGCATATCTCAGGTTGTTAATGAGTCTTCCTCTGATCTTGATGGCCATAGCTTGTCATGATCCACACAGTCAAAATTCATTGCACAGTCAATAAAGCACAGGTAAACATCTTTCTGGTACCCTCTACTTTATGCCAAGATGCACTATAGAGTCTTAACAGCAGCAAAATCAGTAGCAGCTAATGATGCTACCAACTCATACACAGAGTCCATGAAATTAGAGCAGAAGGTTCTAATAGAAGTAGAAGTATTACAATGAGATGTCTCTTTTCAGCTTCTGTACTGATGTCCTTTTCCCAGTATTTAGGTTCTGCAAGTGAAACTCTCCTCTGTTGCCAAGTAACTCGGTCAGCACATGAGCTCAGAGTTCTTTTCCTTCCATGGGAATGAAAACCTTCTTTATAGGGCCAATCTGATGGCCATTTTAGGGGTGTGTGTGTGTGTGTGTGTGTGTGTGTTTAACTTCCAGCATGAAAAGAGATTTCTGTCAGCTCCAGGTTTGTAGAGGAATATCTTAAAATCAAAAGAACCAAGATCAAAGAAAATTGCTGAAGTAGGTGTTGGATGCAGCCATTGATTTTTCTCTGGTTGTATGTTAAAAAAAATCCACAAAAATGGTTTCACATACCACAGTTGAATTTCTAATACTTTCTTAAAGCTAGTGATATTATCCCTCTTGTTTTCAAGAAATAGTTTTTGTAACACCCACAACATAATCAGGCAGACCCTGTATTTCACGTTATTGTGCCTTCAAACTGTTTCAGAATCTACCAAAAAGATTCTTTAACAACCTCTGCAATATGGAATTTGGTAGTTAGTGGAGATACTTAATAACTAGATATGTTTTAGCGCTATCTCAGTAACAGTCATTTACTGGGAATCTGGATTAATCGGACATATGCTTGGTTACTATTTTTCTACTAACTATAAATATTATAATGTGATTCCTGCTTCATTGGCTAGATTTTCATTCCCAGACCAGAACTGGAAATAGAAAGATTTGGCAACCAACTTTATGTTTTTAAAATATGTATTCTTTATTTTTTAAAAAATTAAACAGGCTAAAATATCACTATATGTCAAATATGATAGTGCTTGGGGAAAAGATTTAGTACAGATAATTTGAAAATAGTATACTGAAAAAACATCAATTACTCTTTCATAATTTGTTAACTTTGTCAATAGAATCCAGCACATTCACGTATCTTTTTTTTGTTTTTTTTGAGTCTAGGTTTCTTTCTTTCTTCTTCTTTTTTAAAATGTTTTATTGTGAATTATGTAATAGTTTACAGGGGAGAACATTACCTTTACATTCATCCTATCATATATTGTTTCATTGCCATGGTTATAATCCCTTCCATGCATCATCAACCAACCAAACGGTATACCCTGCAAGCCCGGTTGTGAGCACACAGCCCCTCTCCCTCTCTGGGTCTAAAGTCCCCAGCCACTCCATCTCTCCATGTCATCATCTCTGCCTTCACTGCTTCTATGGGTAGGGTCCCACTTTCCGCTCTTCTCCCTTAATGGTCCCAGGGACCTCCGCTCCTAGACTGCAAAGTCTATCACTCCCCTCCTTTTGCTACAGAACATCTACCAACTCTCATTTACATTTCCAACTCTCACAATCAGTCCTGATAACAGTTATTTACTATTGTATCACAAGAGACCTATCCCCATTTCCTTCCACCAGCTCCGCCCTGACAGATTGCATACTACTCAGTGGAGATTCTTCCTTCCTCCAGGCCCTCTGAATCTAGGTTCCCTCTTGAAAGCTTGTAAACCAGTCACTTCTTGTCTTTGTAGCCCCCCCATTTTGGGTAGCCAATGTCCAAGTTGCCCATTCCTGTCTACTCTGTGTACCGAGGGGCTGGGAATGATCCTTGCTATAATGATTTGTTCCATCTTTTGAGCTACTGCATCCATAGGTGTGGGTCAGTTCATCAAATTGTATCAGATTACTCTTTTTTTCCTCTTTATTCTTCTAGTTGAACTCTGATCATCCAGTCATTGAAGCCAGGTCAAGTGGGTATTATCTGCAAGTGTGGGTGTTCTTATGCATATGCCCTCTCTTCTTATCAGCTGGATGCTTCACTCTACACTCTAGTCCTCTGTGGCTATGTCACTGACTCTGGGCCCAAGAGTCCCCAGGTCTTGCCACACTGCTGGCCAACCAGGTCTCCACTCGGGTTCACAGGAATCTATTTATCTGCTCATGTTATGGCTCGTATTTCTGGTGGGTAAATACCAAGTAGAGGAATTTCTGGATCATAACATATTTCTATTTCCAACCTTCTGAGGAAGCGCCATATTGCTTTCCAGAGAGGTTGGACCATTTTGCAGTCCCACCAGCACTGCAGGAGCCTCCCAGTCTCTCCACATCCTCTACTTTTTTAATCTTTGCTGTTATTGCTGATATGTCTGCTCCCCTGCTTGGTCTTGCCCAAAGTTGTCGGCTCCGGGCCGCAGAGCCCGGCAGATTCAAAAGTACACGATTTCTTACTTTCTCTACAAATTTCACCAGCTATAAGCCTTTAAACTTTTAATATTCCTACCTATGCGCTTCCAAGTTTTGGAGCTCTGCCCTGAATCTGCTTTGCCTGGTATTCTGTGGTATTGCTGGTGGCAAGCCTCACTGCACCTCCACCCTAGCCACCATCAAGCCCCACCTCCTTAGCAACAAACTTTTGAATAGTATTGCTATTGTTGTTATGTGCCGTGGAGTTGGTTTCGACTCAGAGTGAACCTGTACAGGGTTTCCGAGGCTGTAAATCTTTTTGGGAGCAGAAAGCCTCATCTTTCTCCCGCGGAACAGCTGGTAGTTTCGAACTGCTGACCCTGAGGTTAGCAGCTCGATTCATAACCACTACGCTACCAGAGCTCCTTACAGTATGCTAAATAACAACTAACTTTTTTTAAGAAGTATTTAAACTACTGTTGACTATTCTGACATAATATAAAGTCCTAGCTATAGAGTAGGAGGAAAATGTAGAACAAAACTCAAAATTCCTAAAAAAGACCAGGCTTACTGGATTGATAGAAAATTAAATAAAATCTATCACTCTAAGATAGCCTTTGACCTTCGATTTGAAGTAATTTCTGGAGGTCGCCTTTCCATCAAAGAATCAAGTGGTCTATAAAATAAACAGTATCACCTGTGAGTAATGTGTTCCCTTAAACATGTTAGGTGTTAATTACTGATGATCTATGTGTTACTTAAGGCTTAACTGTGTAGCTTCATCAGAATATTAATTCTGCTCTCAACCTCTGCAGGAATATATGACATTTAAGTTTGATTACTAGTAGTTTATCGATACCATTTAATGTTTTAAAACATATGACGTTGTTTTTGGGTTGCAATCACATATTTTAGTTCATGATGTCCAAATTCTTATAACTGAACAGTCTTTACCAAAACTGTGTGGTGGCATTATTATCAAAGGTACAGGCCAGAAGCTCATGTCAAAAGCGTTTTGTATCTCAGTGTACTATTCCCTAGAGGTTATTAGGAATGATTTATTTTTCTTTGTACTGTTTGTCAGTTGAGTAACACAGACTGATAGATTTTAAAACATAAATGTTTATAGTTCATTTTCTAAGCAGTCTGATCATCCACATTATATAGCATATATTATATAGCATATGTTAAATAGCATAATAAAATAAATATACTATCAGCACTGGCTTCTGTAAATTACCAGTGGATTGAGGCAGAGGTAAAAATGCCTGATGAGTATTGATTCTGATGCAATCCCTTTATAAAAAGTTTTAGTGTTTTTTAGGCCAATTCCTGTTGTCATGAAATGTTTATGATTCATTCACACTTGGAAAATAATTTATTATCTATGCATTATCATATCAAACCCCAAACCAAACCCATTGACATAGAATTGGCTCATAGAGACCCTATAGGACAGAATATAGGTTCCATAGGATTTCCAAGGTCCTGGTGTGGAGCTGTAGGATAAGCACTGGACTGCAAAACACAGGGTCCACGGTTCAAACCCACCAACTACTCCTCTGAAACTGTCTACAGATTTGCTATGTATTGGAACCGACTGGACAGTACTGAAAAGCAGCAATAATTATACACAGAGACCACCATGTCTTTTTCCTGCAGCACAGCTGGTGGGTGGGTTCCAACAGGCAGCCTTTGGATTAGCAGCTGTGCTTCCATAGGGTATGTGCTGGACTAGGAACCACAAAGTCAGCGGTTTGAGTCCATCAGCACCTCCGAAGAAGAACGATGAGGCTTTCTGCTGCACATAGGATTTGGAAATCCTAAACAGGGTGGCTGTGGGTCAGAACCAAGTCAACAGCACTTAGCACCTATTCCCCCAGAACTCCTTACTTAAACAGAAATTTCCTCCCTATTTTGTATTTATGGTTTTAGGCTATTTATTGAGTTGCAGAGTAAGCTTATTTTAGTTTTCTTTTTTATTGTCACAGGCAGGATCACGAGACCATTCAAATCTCTCTGTTCCTTCAAGAGCCACGCTTCCTGCTGACGCAATTGTTGTTGAGGATTTTTTGCCATTGAAAGCTGAACTTGATTCAACTTACACTTTCTTCAAGGAGACATTTATGAACACTGTACCCCATGTTCTGACCTCATCTCACTCCTCTCCAGTGACTGTGTCTGCTAATGCCAAAAGGCCAACTCAGATTGGATTATGACTTGATGCAATAAAAAAATGGAGGAAGAGTTAGCAGTACAATTCAAATGGTTTTGAAGTGGTTGGGGGTATGGTGTGTTCTTATTTGTTCACTTTTGTTTCGGCACAAGTAGCAACGGGCCCTTTCTTTTACACAATTGTGTGATATCTTGCTGTGTGTGGGTATCATTGTCTCCTTGAATAACTAAGTAGCCAACCTTCCCTTTCTCTAAATTTTCTTTATTATCACAGTTGCTCATTTTTATGTAGCATATTTTTAAATGCTAAAGAATGACACATTTTGGGTAATTTCCCTCAGACTTAAAAAAATCAATAAGCCATTTTAGTCTCTATCTATCAAAGTTGTTTCATACTTGTCTGTTTTAAAGCAGGACTGCAGTACTTTAATAGGATTGAGAGAGCGATTTGAAATGTATGCCAATGATTTCTGTCATTTCATGGCAGCCCTGCCATGGTTCACTGAGCCCCCTCTTCTTTCTTGTCAGCTCAACTGAAGACAAGCATTTAGTTGCAAACTTTAAGCAGGTTGTGCAAAACAGAAATGATGTGACTGCTTCTCTTCCCGCGCAGTAATGTCACTCTTGGTCCGTGTGAGAAGGTCAGGTTGCTCCTTGTTCAGCTACATGATACCACTTGCCCATTTGAACAAGTTAAGTTAACTGCCGCATCTGGTCCCTGCAGACATCGGAAACTCATCCTTTTTATCAAGTCTGCATTTGATAAGATAAAGAAAGCAGAGCCATTGTGCTGGGAAGATTTCTGTGGGATGTTTAGGCTCTTCACCAGGACAGTTCCCACAGCAGTATAGCAGGTAATATATTTAGTAGAAGCGGAAAAACTTCAAAGTAATGGCTGTTTTGACCTTCAAAATAGACTCCCTTTTTTGTTTTTGTTGTTGGTAGGACCCAAGAGTGACGCCCATCTTTGATGCTGACAGAATTTAAAACAAGGCCATTGCCCTGCATTTTCTGCCTTGTAGCACACAAAAGTAAAATTGTATGTCAGGCCGAGATGTCGAGGAGCTGACAAGATGCCCCAGTGACATTTCAGCTAGAAAGAGCAAGTGTCTTGCAACCAAGTGGTCAAATATCAAATAATAGGTCAAACAGGAAGGAGCTGGGTTCTAACCACAGAGAGGTTTCTGGTAACTTACTTGACAAGCTTTTGGGCACTCGTGGCTTGACAAAGTGATGTTCTGTTGGGTATCGCTAGACAGACTGTTCTTTATCACCTTCAGAAGATCAGACATTGACATTGATTAAACTCTTTAACCCTTCAAGGTTAAATCCTTGCAGTTTGCATCATGGTAAGGGAAGAACAAAAGGATATTTGTAATATGTCTTTGATTTTGTATTAATCATTTAACTCCCCAGTGATATTAACTTCTGATGTGAACTGTAGTTTTTGAAAAACAATTTTGATACAAAGATCCATGTTTTATATTGTTTTCATTATGGAGGAGTGATGCATTAGAAAATAATAGCCCGTGTTATGGAATCTGTGGTATCATATTCGATTCAAATATACAATGTCTGAGAATTTTTTATTGACCTTGATAAATAAAATGATATACAAACTATGTTATTAGCCCAACTAGCCGAGTGATTTATACTTTCTGTGGTAGCAAAGTATCTACTATCATACTATGTAGCACAATGCTATTTTCTTTTAATAGGGGATCAATAGGATTAGCTTGATATAAAACCTTACCAAGCTTTATGTGCAGAGAAAAATGATATCTTTTACCAAATTTCTCTTAATTCTTTCATTGGAAGTCTTTCTATTAACAATTCTAGGCTTTAAGTATTATAGAATATGTCTGTGTAATGGGATGTGTAAGGAATTCAACCTGAACATTTATTATAATTTAGAAAGTGCTATTAATTGTTATTATGCATATCTTATAATAATTTCTGTACATTTCAAAGTATTATCTTTGGCCTTTTCATACAATGATTAGGATATTGTCCATATAGAAATGCATATACAGGTTTTTAGTTCATGTGTTAACATGGAACTTAAGTCTTGCTCTATAGAAAATCCATTTTATCCTGTGTAACTGATATGCCTGTGCTTGTTTGTGTGTGTGTATCTGTGTTGGATCTGTTTCCATAGCCTACTCATCAGGAGGAATGAGCACCTTTGAACCTGCCTTCATCAGGTCTTGGTCTTCTCACCTTCATTTTACAACCTATTAATGGGATCGTACCAAATACAAATGTGTATGATTCTCCATAATATGGAAGCCTAGTTGTGCAGTTGGAGTCCTGATGTGGTGCTGTAGGATAAGTACAGGACTACAAGGATAGTTTGAACCACAAGGTTGGCGGTTCAAATCCACCAGCTGCTCCTTGGAAACCCTAGACAGGGTTGCTATGAGGTGGAACAGACTTGATGGCACTTAAAAACAACAAAAAGTTATAAAGTTATGTTTATACAGTGAATTCTAAACAAAAAATATATAATGGAATCAAATTAAAGCATGTCGCATTTATGGCCAACTAGATGCTAAAGGCCACTGAGACTGTGGGGTGAGCCTTCTAAGTGGCCATCAGTGTCCATTACCAAATGTAGTAATATTTATACCATGTCTTATTTTATCCCCGGAAGTCAGACCCAGCAGGAGGAGATGGTTTAATGACACATCCTATGGAGATGTGAGAAGCTCTAGGCTGCTGTTGAGCACCTTACTGACTATATTTGCTGCATAGTTAAGCCCTGTATTGAGTGGGCAAAGACATTTGTTCTCTCCTCTTCTTTACCAACTTAAGAATGACATACAGAGTGGGCATTTTTAAGGAGAATGACTGCAAATATTTTTGTAGGGAAAAAGAAGTTATACCTTCTACTACAGTATGTAGATTTTCTTACTAAATTTGGGGATCTAGAAAAATGCCCTCGATCACTCATCTCCATCAAATGGCTTCTTAAAGTAATTGATTTTCTATGGATTCGGAGGGCTTACAGGAAAGTTTGCCAGCATTTTTAGTGAGGACATCTTGGTGGAACATAACACATGCAAAGGAATTTAGGAAATTGCAGGCATTGTTGATTCAGTGATAATTCAATTCAATGTTGATGTTGTTAAGTGCCATCCGGACCCTGTAGCTGGGGTAGGAAACCTTTTTCCTTCCAGGGACATTTGGAGATTTGTAACATCACTTAACATAAATTTATGTTGCTTTGAAAAAAACTCCTAGATTTACTGACTTTTGAGTCCCGCCTGCAGTTGCGTTGGTAGGACCAGACCAAATGATTTTGCAAGCTTGTGGGCTAGACGTTCTCCACCCCAATGTATAAGATTTCCAAGGAGCAGCTGCGGGATTGAACCACCATCCTTGTGATTAGTGTTGTTATTAAGTGCCGTCGAGTCGTGTCTGACCCATAGTGACCCTGTACAGGGTTTCCAAGGCTGTAAATCTTTACGGGAGCAGAAAGCTTCATCTTTCTCCCACAGAACGGCTGGCAGTTTAGAACCGCTGACCTTAAGGTTCGCAGCCCGATTCGTAACCACTATGCACCACACCAGGACTCCAATTTAACAACATATTATTTTAAAATAATAGAGCAGTTGCTTTAATTTACCATTTACGAGTAAAACGGGTGAAGAAAACACTTAGTTCATGACTTGTATAACTTTTAAAATGAGGATGAGGATTTTAAAATATCCTTTCCAAACTGGTGGTAGGTTGATTAATGCCCCAAAGATATCCAGGGCCTTATCAGTGGAACCTGCAATATATCATACATGGAAAAAAGGACTTTGCAGATGTGATTAAGCTATGGATCTTGAGACGGGGGATTATTCTGGATTATTGAGTGGGCCCTAGTGTAACCAGAAAGGTCCTTAAAGAGGGTGGTGGAGAACTAGTTGACTATAAAGAGGTAATGTGATGATGGAAACAGAGATTAGGGTGATGTACTTTGAAGGTAGAGGAAGGAATACCAGTGCCTGCTAAAAGCTGAAAAGTGAAAGGAAACAGATCTTTCCCTCTGAGCCTCCCAAACTGTAAGGTAATAAATGTTTGTGTTGTTTAAGTTAAAAATGTTATGGCAATTTATTATAGCAAACATAGAAGCTAGCAACAGTTAGCAACCAGTTTATTATTTTCTTTGTGTGTGTGTGTGTGTTTTTTTTTTTAAGACTAATGAATTAATCTTTTAATACTATCAAACAGAGACATTGTTCCTTCTCTTAAATTATACAGATCAACTACTTTCATAGTGAGAATTTACAAACATGGCTTTACTTTTTGCTGTAGATTCATGGTTTCTAAATCTAATAAGTACTGATTGTCTACATTATGCCAGCACTTTGTCACACTTTATTGTCATAGGTTTTCATAATTCCTTAATTAAGCTTTGCCGTCAATGCATATTTTGGTTTTTTAATGTATTTATTAAATTTATCATGAAGATCTACTTTAAATGATTGTTTTTACTTGATTCCACTTTTGGTGACATGTTTTTATATTTCTTTTATAAAACATGATATTGAGAAAATATTTTAAAATCATAGTTTAAAATAATGACTTAGAATTCATAAATCATATCTTAAGTGTTCCAGAGCACTTCTTCTACTATTTATCCATGAATTCAACATATCTCCAAGATCATTTATTCATGCCTTTTGTTACATATGAGGTGAAAGAAGTTTTAATAGTTTCACCAAACAATAGTATCTTCTAAAATTATGTTGTATATTTAAATCCACTTTATCTCCTCTTTTGGTAAAATCATTTTTTTTTTTTTAACTTAATGGTTCAATTCAATGAGAGTAATTTTAACAGTATCATCAAGTCTTAAAATATGAAGGTTTTAAATCTAGAATATTAAATATTTTCAGTATAACAAAAAAGCCTCTGATTCTATAAGGAACCTGCCAGCCCTTCTGGTATAGCAAGACAAAAATACGTAAATTTCCACATGGGGAGAAGAGCTCCATCTTTGCTATTTAACCTGGGTACTTCTGCTGTAAGAGCCTTTTTTGGCTGTGGAATGTTTTGATTGACATGTCTAGACATCAAATGTTCTATGGGTTCATATATGGATGCTTGT